GCCAGCCACAAGAAGTGCGTCTCCGCCTCAGTCACGACAAGTGATTTATTACACACACACACCTCACACTAGTTTTGCTTGCACCAGGGAAAAGTGAGCGGGGTGCGGCTGGCTTGGCCTCAAGGAGGAATGATGGCGTGTAAAACACTCGCACACTTTGTGTCAAGAAGTAATTACACCCGGAGACTGTCTGCAGGGCCGGCTGAGCATCTTTCGTGACAGGCCTCACCAGTGGGGATGTCAACGCTTTACTAATGGCCTACAGCGAGAGAATGGATAAGTGGTATCAATTTTGTTTTTAGGTCTTAGTGTATGAATCCATGCATTATGAGCCTGCAGTGTCGGCTTGTGGACAGTTCAAACCGAATATGGATGGACTAAATTCAAATTCTCGTTGACTAAAATTCAATGAGGAGAAAAGAGTATAAAGCACTTGTACATTAGCAACGTCATCAACATGCCCAGTTGCTTGCTGTGAATTCTCCAGACAATTACCTGCTCTATTCACACAGGGGCTCAATCTGACATTACCCATTAGTCTATTAAAGTCTGTTTAAAGATCCAGTGTGTCACATTTAGAATGATCTGTGGCAGAAATGTAATATAATATTCATAGGTATGTTTTCATTAGTGTATAAGCACCTGAATATAGGAATTATTGTGTTTTTGTTACTTTAGAATGAGCCGTTTTTATCTACAGATGCCGCGGGGTCGGCCTTTCGATTGGAGCTCTATGTGTTGAACCACAAGTTTCTACAGTAGCCCAGAACAGCGGACAAACAAACCTGCTCTAGATGGGGGCCTTTAGTATGTTACTAACCAAGTTCACGCGGCCATCATATTTCTTGCGTACAGTACAGATAGTATCTCACACAGACAGTGTGCCAGTGGTGTTCAGGTTAATTGCAAGCTTGAAACTACGCTAGGTTGCCATCTAAATGGCCTACACATGGTCCTGGTTGAATGCCAGTCCAACATTTGGAGCTCTGGTTCTTGGATGAGCTGTGCATCCAGTTAATGTCCAGAAAGTTCTGGGGTTGCGATTGGAAAGGCCTCGTCAAACCAGTGAATGTTCTTACCTTTGTGATGAGTCACGGTTGATGCAATTGAGATCACAGTTGGTCTGGTGCAATCTGCAATTGTTTGCGGAACATTATCTGGAGCTTGTTTGTAGCACACTGGATAGTAAGTAGAAAAGTCATGTTGAATGCGTCCATTAGTTCCGATGCAGCATTACAATCTGAATATGTATCGGTTTATCTTACACCAGAATTATTTGATGTTGAGATGGAATTTTATTAATCTATTAACTAATAGAAAGCAATACATGAGGGTTAGGGTGGAAAGATTTCAGAACGCATTGTATTGAAGGGAGAAGTGCTTCGTACAGGTAGTGTGAAGAACCTGACCACTTCGCGAAGCGCTTGCATAATCTAACATTGGTTAGAACAATATAGTAACAAGACAGGATGGTTGGTGAGGAACAGTCACTGAACCTTTTATATGTTTATTCAATATCAACAATTCATCTCATTTCAGCTAAAGTGGAATTTGCTACATTTGTAAATACGTGGGATATAAATGATGGCTATTTAGGTTCCAGTCAGTAGTTTGGATTTTCTTGGCTCAGTATTTAAATTTAAGTACAGTAAGCCTCCATCATATATCTGACACAATAGCTGTTACAGCAGTAGCGTAACCAAACCTACAGAAACGTAGGCTTCATGCTCTCATTTCACACCACAACATGGTAGTTAATGATGCATGAATGGCATTATGCTAGCTTGGCTTCACATTGAGGCCCTGTGGCCGTGACCTGTTGGGTCACGCACCAGTCGTTTGACCGTTTTGTTGAGATGAATTTGAGGACTTTATTGTAGATTAGGAGCCGGGCTGAAAGTGTTTTCTATGGATGAATGATGAAGTAAAGGTTTTCATGATAAATTAGGCAAAGCAGCATTGTGGCGGATTCTTCAGTATTATGCTATTATCACCTGTTGAATAGAGGTATTAGTTATCATATGACAACATGAGGTTAGCCTGATGTAGATAGAAGGAGCTGATCATGTGTCTGCCTTACCGGATATATCAGAGGTTAACACCAAGTATGCGATAGAAGAGTTTATTAAGTTTTTGAGGTGTGTGAGTTTTTTAGAATCCAAAATACTTGTTGTTGTTCCCTTTTTAGATAGAAATATTAAAGTAGCACATCCCAGATCAGTACAGTTCAGTACATCTCTAGCATAGTGACACATCCTAACTCAAATCCTGTTGCCACAACAGTAGTTTTATCATGTCGGATTCAGTGCAATTAGCTTGCCATTTCACCTCCTCCCATTTCTTGGGTGGTACTGAAACTGCACCGCCACACTCGCACACAAGAAGGCACATCTATTGTAGCTGAAATAAGCCTGTTCTACTAAAGCTGTCAACCCTTGTGCTTGTGGGTGGAGAGGAGGTGTAGCCTAAATTTGAATCAAGGCCAGATTTCCTCGGGCATAGAAAATGTAGGCCAACTTTACCATATTTCTTCAGCAATGTAATGTGGAGAGAGGAATATATGCTTAGCTTATGTTTCAGTTTAATTCACATATATTTGCTGATTTGCAGTTTGTAGCAAATGTTACTTAAACAGGAGGAATTTGTCGGGGACTGTTTTCAGCTGCTTTACTGTGTACTCTTCTAAACACACATTGGTTAAATATCTGCAAATTATTAGAGCTGGGCGATAAATTGGTTCAATTGATCAATTTATGTTTTACAATAATGCGAAAAGCGGCTGCATCATGAAGTCGAGCTTTAAAATACAAATGTTATAATGCGGAGATATACAGCTACTAAGGACTCAGTAAAACAAGCCCCAATCCATGATCCAATGACTTCAGACATGTTTTTGCATTTTTGTACTGCAGTTTCTAATTACTAGTAGGCCGACACAAGGATACCGATGCAGTAGGCCAATATCGTTCCATATCTCAGCCTGGCCGATTTATCAGTCTAGCTCTAGGTGAAATACACGGGCCACGTTGAACTGCCATGTCTACAGCCAGCCCAGAACGGACAAACACTGGCTCTAGATAAGGGTGGTTTTGCGTTCTTTTCGTGGCCGCCGCAGTTTCTCCTTTTGTGCTTGAAAAGGGAGGGTGAGGCGAGAGGGTTGCGTTTTGCAATCTCTTGTCAGCTCTTTGTGCAGACTGAGCCACAGCTGCACTTATTCATCAGTGGATGAGAAGTATTTGTTGACTTCTCGTGAAATTAAGTGATTAAGTCCAAATCATTTTAATGTCCCATCATCCGGTGTGGCACCCTGAACTGCAAATACCTTTCCTCGCTTCACCTGGCATGAATGAAAATAACCTCGAAATGAACTAGGCGGGTTAAGGAGGGTTGCCTTATTGTCTCTTTATGCTTACTGAAAAGTGATGAAACAACAATCAGACAATGTGCGTGTCACTGCCCACATATTTAAGATCTCTGTATGCCAGAATATTTCTGATTATCTCTTCTGTTCTGGTTGCACACCTGCCTTGCCAGTTTGTTTGTCATTACGCTGCTGGAAAGTTACTGAAGGAGTGTTCAGCTGCACATCCTGTTGATGTGACCAAAGGCCATATAAACACTTAGTAACTTCTGTCACTTAATTTGATTAACTACAGGACATGTTTTAGTGTTTCGTCATCAGGAATCTCTCCCTGCAACTGCACTTTGTTCTATATATACATATGTATAAACTCCATAACAGTGTGGACTATTTCCTTTTCTGACAGAGGATGCATAAGAAAGTCACTGTGTTAGAATCCAAAAATCCTCCACAGTTCCTAGGTTTGTTTTTTGACATTTTGTCCTAATCGGCATATGTTTGCTCTAAATTGTGTATGGAATTTGGCAAGTTACCGTATCTGCCACGGTGATATCAACTGTATATTTCATAGGGAAAACACACATTGCTATAACTTATGAAAGATTTTGGCTACTCTTCAAAATATTATTCAAGTATTTATTATAACCGTTTGCATTTTTCTTTCACTTGCTTTTTTCTGAACTAGTTGCAGATAGCAACTCATTCGCATCACCCCCCCTTCCAAGCACTACTAGCTACGGTGGCTGTAAAAAGCGTGAAAAACATAAATGCCCCTAATGCCCCTTATCTTAGAGCCATGTGTTTGATTGTCCGTCTTCCAACACCACATGGCGGCACTCACCATGGAAGGCAGTTATCCTTGTAGGATAAATGTTATTCTCATTCTAGGTTAAGGGAAAACAAAACAACATTCCCC